ACCAAATTTAGAAGAATTTCATATTTCATAAAACATGTGGCCTTGTCGAAATTACCCTTTGATGAGGTCTGGACATATGATCAAGTCAAAAGCAATATTTGCTGTCTATTAAACTAATATTTCTCTATTTCAAAGTTGTGACTAGGTAGAAAAATGACTTAATGCTTTTGAATCCTGTGACCTTTTGTCCAAATTGACATTGACCTTGGTGCAGGTCACGATAGGTACATCTTTGGTATCTTTGTATCAAATATGATCCTCTGAATTTCCTCTGTTTCATGTCCAGACCAGTATTTCATATTTCTTATTCCTGCCAAAGAAGTTATATGCTTGATTATAATCAGGGTATTACATATCTTGGTAAGGTCAATGTCAAAGCATTTAAAAGTATCAAATTCTGAAAGTCTCAGTTTCTGTGAAATTCTAATTATAAAAAAGAGAAAAGTTTGTATTGGAAGAACATAAGAACATCATACACAGCACAAAAGTTGCTTATGACCTAGATTTGTTAAGGTCACATGACTCAACTCAAAAGTTGCTTGTGGGGGTATTAGTCCTGTTAGGACAGATCTTGTTTCATGATAGATTTCTTCTTTTTAAAAGTGTTCATAATGAAAATTATGTGACTTATATCAGATACTCCCCAGCAGTCATGGTTTAAGCTCTGTGTACAATCATGAATACAGTACTTACTTTATAATTTCAGATCTTGTTAACAGTTGTGTTACTGTGGTTTGTCATCAGAAAAGCTCGATCAGAGTTAAAGAAAACAGTAGAGGGCCAAGAGAACCCATGCATAGAGCTCCCAGAAGTCACCAACCATGATGATCACCATAGCAACAGAATAACAAAGAAAATATCTAATGGTGTCATACATACATGATGCTTCTTGTAGTTTTGTTGTGTTGAACTACGTTTTTTTCACTGCTGCCTTCCTTTTGGGAGGAATTCATTTTGTTTGCCATAAATTTGGGTTGTGAGACTGCATGGTGTTGTATTGACAAGGACCCTGATAATATGTATGGTTTGTTTTTAGAGAAGTAAGAAGCACAAAAAAATGCAATTAATGTTAAGTATCTACAAGTTATCTTAGGTCCTGTACCTGATGTACTCCACAGTTGTATGCATAGGTCTCAGACCATCTTCAGTAACTGAATAACCTTCATTTTCTTATGCTACATATTTATGTCAATGTTTTATAAAAAGTGCTGCTTTTAAGTTTTCAAGTTATAAATTTTTAAAAATTACTCATAGTTTATCTGTTTATGTGATAAGGTCTCCATTTTATTTATTTGTGAATTCAAAGAAGTTTCAAAATTAAGTTTTATATCTTAAGAATAACTATTTTATGTTACGGCTTCCTTTCTGTTGTGTACTTTGATGTGAATTTTTTATTTTTATTAATCATGAAAAATTTCTTTCTTTCTACAAGTACTTCATGTTTATTTTCTTGTTTTTGTTGAAGAAATTTGATAACAGGTGTGAAATGAACAAAGTTTGGAATGCCAAACTGGGTGATTTTTTTCTTTGTATTTGTTTATTAATGTTCATTGTTCATCAGAAAGCGGCATTACAATATAATGTGATAATTGTTATTATTTTTTGTCGTACTTAATCCATATACATTAATGGATATAGAAATATCCTCAGCCAAATTTTTTAAATTAAGTTAAGAATTTTGGATTCACTGCTCAAGCTAATTCTAAATGTTTTATGTTGCAAAAAAGCTCTAAATGTTTTTATATATTATAAAAGAAAATACTATGCACCAACTTTTATTTGTGACAACTTGTATTTACAATAAGTCAGTTTAAATTATGTCTACAATTAATGATAAATATTCATGAGTATAAGAAGGTCATGAACCTAGCAGATATTTCTTGCATACAAATAAAAGTTGGTTTATATACATTGTATGTGTTAATACATATACATATAGTGATTTCTAACAATGGTGATATTATAACTAGTGCTGTACTTATCTTTCAGTGTAAAGTTTTGAAGTTACTGCTATAATTTTATCTTAAAGCAAAATCTATACAATTCATGTGTATTTTTGAATCAGTACAATATGTTCGAACATGTTGTTTATTTTTTTTTTTATTTTGAAAAAGAAATTTAAAAGATTTATAAAAGAAATAAATATTATGTCAACAATTTCAAAACGAGCAAACTTTTCTTTTTTACAGAGTGCATTTTAATATCAGATGGATTTTTTCATTTTAAAGAACAATATAAAACAAAACATAGTTATCTACATGCTCAAAAGACCATATGTTACATCGTGAACTACAGAATCTTAATCAATTATTACTCACATCCTAATGATAGTTGGAACAGATGTATGATGATATCACTTCAACATAATGTTAAACATAAATATTCTGTATAGAAAGCATATTGATGTGAAATTGATTATGTAATGTTTACGATACTTAGGAAAAGTATTTCATTAGAGAAAGTTCAATTTACTCATGCATATTTACAAAGCACTTAAGAGTCAGTTTATAAAAAAGTATATAGCTGTGTGAGGCATCCTAGATTATACCCTCAGTTACTGCTGAAATATCTTACTGATAATTATCTTATAAATGTTGTAATATTTACTTCAGTAACTCATTAATCTATAAAATCCATCTCTGGACTTTAAGTTTGTAGATTATTATACTTGAAACAAAGGTTACTCATGATTTTGGATGTCTTAATTAGTTTTTTTCTAACTACAATTTTAAATGTCTTTCCTGAGTTTTATGCTTCAATATATATTTGTTATGTTTTGACTGGTTCTGCCTGTCTGTACATGGTCTTTTTCAAGTTGTTGAGTTATTTCTCTTGCTCTCATGACTAGTCTTTGTAATTTGTTCTCTGGATATGAGGCATTTTATTACAGTTTGCACAATCATTTGGAATCCATTTATTCATGTAAAAAGAAGTTATACTTCATGTAGATAGTGTGAATTTTGTCAATCTAATTAAAATTTGATAGTTTGTGCTTTCAACGTGATCTGTTTGCAATAATCTAATTTTAATTAGATTGATTTGTCACAGTGATATGGTTATCTGTTTGATGTGTTCTTATTTCTTAATGATATTATTCAAAAGGACTATGTTTTAATGAGTTTTAGGTCATGGAAGCAGTTTTAGAGATAAAAATGTTTTAGATTCTGAAAGTTGTATCTGAATATAAGTATAAAATGTTCCTTAATTGTTGGATTTTAAAGAAAATGTATCCTGTAAAGTATTAGCAACAAATAAGTTTCTTTTCATTGCAGTTATTTCTGTATAGTTCTTAATTTTCTTTTGAAAAATAAATCTGCTTTATTGTAATTTATCTCCACCCTAGAATCTGTATTTTAATGCAAAATATTTATGCTCATTGGCAAAATTTTAATGTGCCAATTTCTTCCTAGCAAGTTAGATTTATTGGAAAACAATTTTAAGCTCAGAATTTTGAAGTTTTAGATGGCTGTCATGAAATCTTATAGATTTATTCTTGATTGCTTATTGCTTCAATTATGAAATAACTCAATTTTTTCTGACAACTCCAACAATCTTTTATGATATAGTTGCTGTTATAAGAAATTATCATAAACACAAATAAGTTTTGTATAATCTAGATTGTACTGTGTGACACACTTTTTTGTAAATAAGATATTTGTGTGTGTGATACACTATTTATTATACTATAGCATTAACAAAGGTGCTGTATGAATGGATGGAATTGAATAAACATAAGAATCTTGTTTTCTATTGTTTTTTTCTTTTACTATTTTGTCAGTATTGAATGAATTAAAATTAGTTTTGTGGAATGCCATGTGTATTGTTAGGGCATGTGCGTAGCTTGTCAGGTCGATTCTTCAGTGAAAATGACTTGTCTGTTCTTGAAAAAACCTTGAAAATGGATGAATGAATGAAAATTAAAGAACTATATGTGGCATATGCATATTTTTACCCCCACAAAAGTCATATTTTGAAATTTTTAGGTCACCTGAGTAAACTCAGGTGACCTATTGCTATCTGTTTTTGTCTGTCGTCGTGCGGTGTGTGTCGTGCGACGTGCGTTAACATTTGAACATTTTCAGCTTCTTCCCTGCAACTGCTCAACCAATTTCAACCAATTTTGGCATAAAGCATCTATGGGTGAAGGGGAACAAAAATTGTGAATTTCATGGTCCCTGCCCCCCTGGGGCCTGAGGGGTGGGGCCAAAACCACTAAAATTAATGCAATCTTTAAAAATCTTCTTTACTCCTGGACATCAAGCAGTTAAACTGTTGGCGTGATTGTAATAAGCATTGAGCCCTCTACCAAAATTGTGAAATTCATGGCCCCAGAGTCAGGGGTTCTGGCGCTAGGGCGGGGCTCTAATGATTATATAGTGAAAATGCATTAAAATTCTTTGAAAATCTTCTCCTCTGCTCCTGGGTATTAAGCCGATGAATTAAGTACATAGTTATGAAAAGGATGAGTGCCTCTTCCAAAATTATGAATTTCATGGCCCCAGGGTCAGGAGTTCTGGTGTTAGGGTGGGGCTCTAATGATTATATAGTGAAAATGCAGTAAGTCTTTAAAAATCTTCTCCTCTGCTCCTGGGAATTAAGCCAATGAATTAAGTACATAGTTATGATGAGGAAGAGTGCCTCTTCCAAAATTATGAATTTCATGGCCCCTGGGTCAGGGGTTCCATTTGGGGGTGTGGAGGGGGAGGGGTCTTATTTATTATACACTGAAAGTAAATTAATGCTTTGAAAATCTTCTCCTCTGCCCCTTGGTATTAATTAAACAAACTAAATACATAGTTATGATGAGAAAGGATGCCTCTTCCAAAATTAAGAATTTCATGGCCTCTGGGTCAGGGGTTCTTGTGCTTGGTTGGGGCTCTATTGATTAATTAGCAAAACTGCATTAATGTTTTGAAAATCTTCTCCTCTGCCTCTGAGTACCAAGCAAACTAAATGCAATAATATATAAATATCAGGGATGGGGTAATTGAAAAAAGTAATTGTAATTGACTGTAATTAATTACATTTTTTGAAGTAAATGGAAGTAATTTGTAATTGAACATTTTTTCAATTACTTGTAATTGTAATTGTATTAATTACACTGAAAAAATACCATGTAATTTCAATTACTTTTTCAATTACATTCAATTACTTTATATAATACACATTCATGATATATTGTCACCACTACTTCCCCATTTTACTGGGTTTTTATTTTATTGTAAAACATATCCTCAATCCTTCAATTAAACAAAATCTTGGGTTAATGTTTACAAACAAATCATTAAATGATTGGCTTGATAATAATAATCTGGTTTCTTTCCAATCATTATGTAAATTTTGATTTTTTTGATTTATGTTCATAAATTTGAATTTTGAACCACCCTTCTTAGGTCTATTCAGCTATAAAACACACATTTATTATATTTCAATCTTTGTTGTTTGATCAATGATAAAGAAAAAGAAGGTGTGTGTCATTAATTAAGTTCTCTCTTGTTGGGAGGAGATAATTGCCCTCCAGATCACAGCTGTAAATTGCAATCAAAACAAATCAACTCCCCTAAAGAGATATTCATTCCATGATTTAGAAGACAAAGCCAATGGAGATAATTATTTCAATTTAAAATGCTCCGCTAGCTTTAGAAAAGAAAAAACTTTCAATTTGATAATTATTTTAATATCTAAACAGATTTTTATGAATGAATTTTTATCTGTACAAGTATTATTTATGAAGTAAACTTATTTAACATAAATAGCAATTTAGGATGTTCAGGTTACCTTCAAAGGAAATATTTAATCTGAGGGGTTACGGTTGCGACTCATTTTACTCTATTAAAATACCCTCTTTTAATCAAATATCATAGCCTGTAGTATATTATTCTTGTACTCTTTGTGCAGAGGCTGAGCTTGTATACAAATAAATGATGTTCTGTATATTCATTGACAAGGATTATAAAAATTTTCAAAAAAATTAAAAATGTAATTTGTAATTTAATTAATTACTTTTGCAAAGTAATTGTAATTTAATTAATTACACATCTTAGAAAGCCTGTAATTTAATTGTAATTTAATTGAAGAAAAAGTCAAAGTAATTGTAATTTAATTAATTACTTTTTAAAGTAATTGACCCCATCCCTGATAGATATAAATGTATTGGATATAATTATAAGTAAATGTGCCTTTTCTTTGCTTCTGGGTATCT